CCCTCTCTCTCACTTACCTCGTCGTCTCCACCTTACTTACCTCTCTCGGCAGCTCTTCTTCTTCCTACTTCCTTTCCTTTCTTTTCCTTCCTCTTTTCTTCTCTTCTCCTCTCGTTTTTTTTTTTTTTTTTTTCTTTTCTGCTCTGCCAGCGTTTTTCTTCCTCTGCTCACGTCTTCTTCTTCTTCATTTTTATATTTTTAGTCTTCTAATTTATGTTCTACCCTAGATTACAGGTAATCCCCTAAACCCCTACCACATCAGCTTTTTCTTCAAATAAACCTCCGATTTTGCCCCTTGTAACCTGCAACCAGCAGCTTCCTTTCTTGCAATTTCATTCCAATAAAGCTTTAAAAACTAACAGAAATCCCCTTCATAAAATAAAATCACACAAATATGTCATTGGATTAGATAAAAACGGGGTTTCACAGTTTATTTGGAATATATGAAGATGGATAATTTTGGGAAATTCGTATTGATACTCTGTTCATATATTTTCAATTTATTGACAGTAAAAGGTGTATAGGGAATAGATAGTTATAAACCATTTTCATGATGATGGATTTGTCAAACAATCAATTTCAAGGGCGAATTCCGGAAGTAATTGGAAAGCTTAATTCCCCCTCAGTCTCACTTTTCTCAAAAACCTTACAGGTCATATTCCACCAATATTGGAAAATTTGACAAGACTTGAATCATTAGACCTCTCATTTCAATAGCTTGTTGGAGAGATTCCTAATCATTGGCAAGTCATCATTCTTTCTGTGTTGAATCTTCTACAATCGATTGGGTGTTATACCTCAAGGAAGTCAATTTAATACATTTCAAATGATTCCTACATTGGAAACTTGGGTTGTGTGGACTCCGTTGTCAAAGAAATGTGGGATGTGAACCGCCATCACAATACCGTCCATCTACCATGAAGGAGACATGATGTGGTTCGATTGGAAAATCGCTTTGAGGGTTACGGATGCGGATTGGTAATAGGCTTGTCTATGGATACATTGTATTCACAATAGGAAACCTCATGGTTGTAATATGGTTGAAAGATGAGGCTAGAATCATACAGAGTGAAGAGAAACCATCAAAGAAGAAATTAGTGACTTCAAGCGTTGCTCTTAAGAGGTGAGTGCTTGGTTTTACATCATATATTTTTATGCTTCTTCAAGAATCTGAATATAAACTCCACTATAATTTTCAACTTTTCTTTCTTTTCAGAGTTAGGCACTTGACAAGAGCAATCGATTGAATCAGTAGTCTTATATTCTTTCAGCATATGTTATTTTGCAAGTTTCATGGTAACACATTTTCCAGAAAAAAAAAATCAAAGTGCTTCAATGTTGTTGAAAAAACAAAAATTTATTTGTTATTTGTGTTGTGAAGTACTTCAAGTTATGGTAATCTTAGTTTTTCCTGATACATTTTATTAGTCAGTCATATGTTTATTTTAAGCTTTTGCATGAGAACTTTTGCCAGATATTGACTAGCAGCTCTTGAATTTTAATCTTGCATTCATGGGAGTTTTTAGTGAATAGTTAGTATGAAGAACTTTGTACTTACTATTTATCTCTAATTCTGTTATCCTATTGTGTTTTATTAATCGTGGTATTCAGAAGTTTTTATATTATTAAAAAGTAAGTGATATGTTGTAATTTTAGAACTTACTCAGGGCAATCCTAGTAATTATCGCACACACACTGCCTTGTTGAATGGAAGAGTTTCCACTTCACTTCTCTAAATCTCCCATTTCAGCTATATTCCCAAAAGCCCAAATCTTCTCCTCTTTACCCTCGCAAAACCCTATATTCCCTTTATATCCTCTTCATTTTTCACTTCACTAATAAACTCAATCCCAAAAGGCCAAACCATAAATTCTTGTACATATCTCAATCTCTTTTCATTCTCAAATTTGACGAATTTCCCATTATTCTTGACTTTAATTCTGGGTTTCTTTTTCCTCAATTTTTTTGCTGGGATTTATCAAAGTTTCATTTTTATCTCGTTTTTGTTCAATTTCATGGATTTTGCTCTTGAATCTCCGGTTTTCAATCGACCCACGTTCGTTCCAACAATAAAAACTCGTTTTTCCTCCACCAAAATCGATGTTCTAAATCTCCTGTCAAGATTTCACCCAGAATTCATCACTATCCAAAGTTTCATATTCTAGATTGCCCAAAACAAAATTTCGACACTAGAACCCACGTGAAACCAATAAAAGTCACTGCAGAACTGGGTCGTGAAAAAAAGAAGTTTGGATTCAAATTAGAGAAATTAAGATTTGATGAAAGGGGAGTCGTTTTAGGGGCTTGTTTGTGGGTTTGGTGTTTGGTTGCAAGAGAGTTTTTGCTGGTGGAGAGTGCAGTAATGCAGGTATGGAGTTATTGACAGGCATATTGTTGTTGAAGAATGCTTGGCCTAAATTCTCAGGTTTGAGAGTGTTTAAAGAACAGGTTGGTTTTGGCTGCGCTTTTGGGGTTGTCTGCGTTCTTTCAGTGGCTGAGACGTCTAATCACCACGCTTTGACCTTGGAAGGTATAAATTCTGAGCTGTCTGTGTTTGTTTATGTTATGTAATTGTGTGTCACAAATATGCATTTAAGGTTTGTTATATTCTGGTCATGGTGTGTTGTTAGCTTATTTGGTGTCATTTTGATGTTGGTGGTTTATTTCAACTTGTGTTATTATTTTGAAAAGAACAAATTATTTATTTTATTTATCTATGCTGCTTTATCATATGCTTATAAAGTACATTATAATGTTGGGTACAATATTAGACTGTGTCCGTGAGGTGTTTTGAATGCTTTTCTTTGTTTTTGGGTTTAGTTGGCTGTGTTGAGGGATAGCGATGAGAATATTGGACTAATAAAAAGCGCAAGCTCTTTGAATCATAAACCACTTACCTGTTTCAGCATAAAGGATGTTAACTGAAACATCATATGTACTTTTGGTGTAAGTAGATGATTGCCATCTCTTCAAATAGTTTATTTGTTCTAATTGGCCATTTGATATTATTCGTGAATCAGGTGCGTAATTGGCAGAAAAAGAGCTGATAATGGTGTCATAAATGCTTTGCGTGATGTTACTCGGTTTTTGACGACTATTCTCATTGGCACAAGTTCTACCCCCCCCTTAATGTAAGCGTAACTATTCTTTTCTTTCATATTGAGTTTGAAAATTAGTTCTTTATAGATCTAGTTACATATTCAGTGTGGCTAATATTGGAGCCACTGCGTTAGCACAGAGCAGCAACAGCTTTATTTGGTGAGGCTGGTGTCAGTGCGCAACAGGAGTAATGACTGTAAGTATAACGTTCTCCTTTTAAGGACATGCAATATATTATGAACTCATATTGAATTGCCAGGCAGTGGTTATGTCGACATCTAAGTTAGTGCTCAGGAGATAGGTGCCATCAAACCTGAGTATTTGTCCTCATTGAAAACAATTCATGTTGTCTATGGATTAAAAACTGATGCAGATACACACAGATTCTATACCTTATTTCAATTGCTTTAACCAGTTTTCCATTTCCTGAATATATTAGGTGTCCGTTTACTTCTCACTGAAATACTCCAAAAAGTATTGTTGTTCATAATGCCCAGAGGTTGCTAGGTTTGTTGTAATTTAAAAATTAATATTTCATTTTCATCAATCTAAATAGGGCATCTCTATTTTCTAATAGATTTGGCTTTCACTTGTTTTTTCCCAACCTATCTAATGTCGTTCTGTCGGTTTCCATGCTTTGCTGTGTTACTGTCTGAGCTCTATTTGACTTTGCAATGCTTTAGGTCAGGCCAGTGGCATGGCTTTCCTTGTACTATTACCTGTGGGAAGAGTTGTTACATATCTATCAATGGGAATGCTAAAAGCTCTTGGTCTGAAAGGAGAATGTATCCTATCTGACTTTTATTTTTTGGTGAAAAGATAATCATTGCTATTTTTTTATCTTTTTGTATCTTCCACATCATACTTCATATGGCTGTGGTTCTAAGGGTATGGTGGAAACTGTGGGGGTATATACACACTCATGTCTGAATCAAACTAAGTTAGAACTAGTTTTTCATTAAACATTTATGTTAAAGGGTTGCTTGGTAACTCAATAACTACCTTTGACCTTCAGCTTTGATGGCCTAATAATCTTTTTTTTTTTTTTTTTTTTTTTTTTGTTGGGAGACTCTGAAAGCAGGTTGTGAACCAAACTAAGAATTTGTTGGTGAAATCTTTGACGAAAATGATTCAAAAGTAAATCTGACTGTTAATTTTGTCTTTGTACTAGCATTGCTAAATGATGTGATGCGAGCAGAGGGAATATATGATGTGATGCGAGCAGAGGGAATATATGATGTGGATGCTAATACATGTATTGATCAGCTCTCTGAAGACTTAAATATCAAAATGCCAGAGGTATGATGTTTCTTCTGGTAATGCTGTGTTCATGCTGTTGTTACTGCCACTGTGATGTTTATGTTAAAATGCGTATTTATCAGCTAGCATGTGAAGTACTTACCGGGGCAGGATTACCTTGTCACATTTATAATTGTGAAGTATATTCAATTCCCTTTCATATGTAGAGACCTGTTGATGGGGGGTGGTGGTGTGGTTGGGGGTGTGTGGGGAGGGGATGAGACCAGCACAGATAAAGGCAAAAGTGTCATTATTATGATAGTTTAGTAATATTTCATTATGACTGAAAAGAATTTGATTAAGCACAATAATATACTTGATATTTTTTACCATGATTTGTGGACTGATCTGGGACTATTTAACTGCTCAGTTATGCATTGCTTGCAATGGGTAAAAGCTATATTGCAACAGTCTTTGTCATGCATATTAGGGCTTCTATCTTATGCTTCAACTGAAGAAAGACTTGATTATATGTTGTTTTAAGTGTCCATGATTGCTTAATTTCACATATCTAGTTACCTTTTCTTTCCTATTATTTTATAGGGTCATCAGTATGAGGCGGTATCAGGTTTTATATGTGAGGCCTTTGGATACATCCCAAGGACCCGTGAGAGTGTGAAAGTGGTCCTTGAAAAGGAAAACCAGAAAGAAAACGAAGAACATTATGAATCTGGATCTGACCGCCAAGAATTGAAGGAAAAGCATCTGATCTACAAACTCGAGGTATGGTCTTGATCCTTTTGTGCTACATTTACTCTTGTGGAAGCTCTATCACATTAAGTTGTGGTTATAAGTTCTCAGGGATCATTTCTAGAACCTTTACATTCTTACTTCTCTATCTGGCCTACTTCCCACCATAGCCGTAGCCAGGAATATGATCTATTAAATCTTTAATATTCATTTATAATATTTTATTTAATCTATTTATAGTTGTTTTTGATGCATTTTTTGTATTTTAAAAATACACTATGATACACAACTTGTTATCAGTACCAAAAGAATCAACTATAGTTGTTACAAATTTACAAAATTAAAATTTTGAGTAATAATTGTTTATGGTACGTACTAATACAACTGGGAATATTATAATGCATTTACAAATTTACAAATTGTTGGAAGTTGTGATATTTATTCAAATAATAATTTATGGGGCATCTGGCTCTTGGGCTTTGCCCTGTTTCTTCAATGCGGGTAACTTCAGTTTTATAACAATATTAAGTCATGAACCATGCCATGAGTAATTTAATTTGCCATCTTCAAAACATAACACCATTTCTATCATTCATCAGCATTTTCTGTTTAGTTTGTGTGAGGAGAAGCACTCAAATCTTTGTAATTATGAGAATTTTAAAAATAATGAATTAAAAGTGCTATAATATATACCTATTTTTTTTCTCATTTAAGGACCCATATTATTTGGATGAAGGCAATTGCTTCTGAAATTTCAGTTTTCACCATAAGAATAGGGGTTTAATAGATAAAACCAACTTGATCTCTTATAACAGAGTTCGCCTATAATTAATAGATAAGCAAATAAAAGCACAATGCTCTTCTTGTAACAGATAGCCCTGTTTCTTGCAAGCAGGGGGCCGCAACATCCATCAGACATCACCAGGGGAACTTTCATATGTTTGTTCTTTCTATTGTGAACTTTTTAAGTTTTATGAATGTTTAGCTTGTTGGAAAAATTCTGTGGCAGTTGGCAAATTTAAATTTTCTCTGGGTGCTAGACTTGTCTCAAAACCAACTCACGGGACCCATTCCATAGGCAGTGCGCTTTGATACCTTCGGAAATACTTTATACACTGGAAACTTGTGGTTGTGCGGATTTCACTGTCAAAAGAATACAGAAGATATGAGACATTACAACCAACCTCAAAATTGTAAGATGATACACTCCATACAATGGCCTTGATTGGAAATTGATGTGATAGGCTATGGATGTGGAATGATGTTTGGAATGATGATCAGAGTATCTTTTGTTCTCAACAGGAAAGCCCGGTGGCTTGTAGGATCGTTGAAGGAGGGACATCGTCAAAAGGGGAGAAGGCCAAAACAAGAGACACATGGAAGAAAATAATAGTTCTTACAAGTTTCTAGTGTAAGTATGTTTCAAAATTGCAGAGGAATGTTTGTTTCATCAATGCAAACTTTGTTATAGTGTGACGAGATGTGTGTACCAATAGTTTGAAATTTTAATTAGTACTCTGTTGCGAAATCACTCCTGTCATTTCCATTTGCAGACTCCAGGATTTGATTCCAAGGAATTGAAGAATTGGGAGAGAGCGTTAACTTGGTATATGATAAGCCCGGTTTCCCGCAATTTGGCAAAGTAAAATTGTACTATGCTTTAGAATGACATTAACTTGTTGTATCTTAAGATTTTCGGTTTGCGTAGTTAGTTTATTGTATAACTATTTTTTGTATGGCCTATTCCGGTATGTTAAATCCTAGAGTTAAATAATTGAGTACACATAAAAGACAATACAAGATTAAAAGTGAGAGCCACCAAAAAGAGGTTTAGTGAGAGTATCGATTGTTGAGGCTTGTGAAAGACTTTTGTAATTTTTGTCTTCTTATAGTGAAATTCGCATAAAGTGGACGTAGTTCTCATACAGAGAGTGAACCACTATAAATCTTGTGTTTGTGTGTGGTTTATTATTTGTTATTTGTTCGTTTATTTTTGCTTCATAGGGATTTAGGTTTGTTAGCATTCGATTAAATCTCCACACATGATCATTGGTGAACTCGAAGCTAGATAATTGTGTGTTAGCTAACATTTGTAGAAAAATAATAATAATAATAATGGCGCAAACAGTAGGCCATTGCGTGACCCTGCCCTGTTTCTTCAGTGCAGTTAATTTTCTATTCACAAAAAGGGAACATGATCTTAATCTAAGTCTGGTTTATGAGGTGTAAGACTTATTTTATTCCCATTTTTATTTTCCAACTTTTGTTTGAGGCGAATAGTTGCAGAACAATAGAAACAGGAAACTCTCTACGGATCTTTAAGAATTCGTATATTATGTGCTTAGAATTTTACTTCTGAATTCATAATAATTTGAGAGCTAAAACTATGAATGATACTGGTTTGATTTGAATATTTTATTTTGAACAATTTTAGTCAGCCATTGCTTGAGCCCGTCCGTTCTAATATTGTTTAACATCTACCAACACAGTAACTTTCTCTTTTAAGTAAAAAATTATATCATTCATTCAGTCATCAATATTTCTCTCTCACAATTATATTCATAAACATCTCCAATCTGGAGAAAGTGGAATGGATAAAACTATGCTTACGACTAGAGGTTACAGTCAAGAAACTGGGAAAGTGACCAACTTTAGTAATACAAAACTTTCCAAATGTATCAAATATGAACCATATATATATATATATATATATATATATATATATAATATATATATATATATATATATATTTTAGTTTTATAGACAACTTATCAACCAAGAAAGTGAGTTTTAGCTATAAATATCCATTTTTTTCTTTTCCTACGATGACTTACCAAAATCTAAGAGAAAAAAATAGAATAATGCATTTAAAGTGATATTTTTTTTCTTCATATGGAACAATCTTTATATTAATATACTATAATTAATATGAGTGTTGGAAAGTAGACACATTAAATTATTGTAGTAGTAGACCAAGAAATTAGTGCTGAATAAATGATTGAAATAATCAATCCTCTACAGTCTACCCCCTTCCTCACTGCATGAGCTAAAAAGATTGTATGATTGTCAAATCAAAAGATCTATATTTATTATTACATGTACAAAATTTGTGATTGATTGTCAATAAATAAAAATGTAATAGAAGAGTAGGTCTTGACCATGCATGAATTAAAATACACGTGTAATAAGATATTTTGAAGCTTATCCACGTAAATTCATATCAGAATAGGATTCAAATTATCTTGAATATGACTTAGACAGTACTTTACACGTTTTCTTTTTTCCATGCATGGTAACTTGGTGATTTTCTATTTCAAACTTTACTCTACATGGTGCATAAAATATATATATTTCTGCTTTTAAACTTAATCGAAGGCGTGTGGAAAATGAAAACATATAATCAAGACTTTTGTGTAAATTGGAGACCATTTTAGCACCAAAAATGACAATTTCAACTTCTACCGTGCAAGTGATGTTAAATTGTCAAATTGTTCATGTTCGAATGATGCAAAATTTAGTACCAAAAATTGAAATGAGAGAAAACAGAGTGGAATTCATGTAATTTTAAAGTCTTCTGAATGAGAGTGACATAGATAGTCCTTAAAACTTATGGTCATAACATCATAGTTTATATATTAATTTCCATGCCTATTTTCTCTCCATATAAGGCCCCATGTTAGTTGAATGTAGAAATTCTATTGGTATAATAAGTCAGTCCTGCTCTACTTGCTAATTTTCTTTAAATTGATCATGAAATGATTTATTTAGGTAGAATTGTTTTGTCGAATATTTAATTTTGTGGAGTCAAATGAACTTAGGCATTTCCCCACTGCATCAACCAATTAAGAAGCTATATTTTTCGAAACGCATAAGAAAACGAAGACTGAAGCAGAAGGTGAATATATATCAAGGTCAAAACGTAGGCACTGGTTTCAGTAATTTTTTTTGCATCAAACCAAGTAAGCANTTTCTTTCTGTGTTGAATCTTTCATACAACCGATTGGTAGGCTCTATACCTCAAGGAAGTCAATTTAATACATTTCAAAATGATTCCTACATTGGAAACTTTGGGTTGTGTGGACTCCCGTTGTCAAAGAAATGTGGGGATGATGAGCTGCCCTCACCAATACCGTCCATCTACCATGAAGGAGACGATGGTTCGAGCTGGTTCGATTGGAAAATCGCTTTGATGGGTTACGGATGCGGATTGATAATAGGCTTGTCTATGGGATACATTGCATTCACAATAGGAAAACCTCTATGGTTTGTAATAATGGTTGAAAGATTGAGGCTCAGAATCATAACAAGAGTGAAGAGAACCCAACCAAGAAGAAGAAATTAGTGACTTCAAGCGTTGCTCTTAAGAGGTGAGCGCTTCGGTTTTTACATCATATATTTTTATGCTTCTTCAAGAATCTGAATATAAACTCCACTATTAATTTTTAACCTTTTCTTTCTTTTCAGAGCTAGACACTTGACAAGAACAATCGATTGAATCAACATGATCTATCTATTATCTTTCACCAGTATGTTATTTTGCAAGTTTTCATGGTAAAGCCACATTTTTCAGAAAAAAGCATAAATCAAAAGTGCTTCAAGTGGTGTTGGAAAAAAATAATAATTTGTTTGTTATTTGTGTTGTGAAGTGCTTCAAGTTGATGATAATCTTATGTTTTTCCTGATTCTATCGTAAGTGTTTTATTTTTAAGCTTTTGCATGAGAACTTTTGCCAGCCTGAATATTTGAATATTAGGCTCTTGAATTTTAATCCTTGCATTCATGGGATTTTTTAGTGAATAAGTTATGTATTGAAGAAACTTTGTGCTTTACAAATTTATCTCTAATTCTGTTTAATCCTATTGTGTTTTATTAATCGTGGTATTCAGAGAGTTTCTTATATTATTTAAAATAAGTAAGGATATAGTTGTAATTTTAGAACTTACTCAGGGCAATCCTAGTAATGGTTGAATATAGAAGAGTTTCCACTTTCACTTCTCTAAATCTCCCATTTCAGCTATATCCCAAAAGGCCCAAAATCTTCTCCCTCTCTTACCCTCAGCAAAACCCTATATTCCCTTTATATCCCTTCTTCATTTTTCACTTTCACTAATAAACTCAATCCCAAAAGGGCCAAAACCCATAAATTCTTGTACATATCTCAATCTTTTCATTTCTCAAATTTTGACCGAATTTCCCATTAATTCTTGACTTTTAAATTCTGGGTTTCTTTTTCCTCTAATTNTATATATATCGACCTTTTCAAAACTGTTTATGTTCAAATGATGCAAGTGGCCTTTCAGATCTAACTAAATTCAGCTTATCTGATAATTTTCTAACTAGTAGGATATCAGATTGGTTGTTTACGCTACCGTCTTTGCAATCAATAGACCTTTCTTCTAACTTAACTCAATTCCCAAGTTTCTTAAGGACCGCAAAAAATTTGCAAATTTTGGACATTTCCAACAACAAAATTTCTGGCCAAATTACCCAAATGGAATCAAAATTGTGGCAGAATTTGTATATCCTAAATCTTATCTCACAATAACCTTATAGATAATACTCCATCATTATTTGAATACTCATAAATCACTCCTCTGCAACAGCAGTGGCATCCATTTCTTGATAGAAATTCTCTGCTGATGAAATTTATCAAGAAAATTTCTTTACATTGTTTTTTTAGGGAGACGTTTTGCCAACATTAACATTACTGTTAGCTGTTGAATCCAATCCATGTAAGACATTTGTGGTATTTTCTTATTAGAACGCAGAAAAGGAGCCCTTGGATGGTCAGGACTAAATCCAGTTGTACCTCGTTAGTGCTTGACCAAAGACTTGATGGAGTAGACCTCATAGCACGACCAAGACTTGGTGATATGACAGCTGTCTCTTTACAATGGTGAATCCCACTTTGAATTTTGTTCCCAATTTATACCAATCATGATACATGAATCATCTAATTCAAAGTCATCATAATAAAATTCTAAGTACATGGAGTAGACATCAGTGCATGACCAAGACTTGGTTACATTTTTCTCTTTTTATTTATCTATATATACATAGACATTTCAACTTCGCTTCTCATCTCTCTCAACAATTTTATGCAATTTCTTCTGTTTCTATGAAAAACATGTGGGGGCTATCATGGCACTATCTCCTTCCTTGCCTCTTCCTGTTGGACATGAATTTTCAAGCCATTTCGTCATCTCCTCATAACTCTTTTTCTCGTTCAATCAAATTTTGCTCCCTTGAACAAAGCTCTGCCTTACTCCATTTCAAGAGCACCTTAAAAATTGATAGTTATTCTTCCTATCCTTGCGAAGAGTATTATTATCCTAAGACAGATTCTTGGAGAGAGGGAAGTGATTGCTGCTCATGGGATGGGGTCACTTGTGATAGCTACACAGGTCATGTCATTGGCCTTGAACTTTCTTCTAGTTTGATCCATGGCACTATCAATGGCAATAGTAGTCTCTTCCTCCTTCACAATCTCTAGAAGCTCAAGCTTGCTTGTAATAATTTCAGTGAATCCACAATCTCATCCAAGTTTGGTCAATTCACGAAATTAACACATCTTAACCTTTCTTTCTCTGGTTTCTATGGCGTAATTCCAACTGAAATCTATCACCTATCTAAACTTGTTTCGCTTGACCTCTCTGGTGATGTTTTTTCCCTTCGATTACCTGAATTGAGCCAACATGTTTTTAATAAGCACTTACAGAATCTTACAAAATTAAGATATCTTCATCTCGATGGTGTGAATTTGTCTTCAGTTGCACCTGGCTCCTTGCTGAACTTGTCTTCTACTCTGATATCTCTTTCAGTTGGCGGTTCTTATCTGAATGGCAAGTTTCCAAATGATGTTTTCTGCATTCCGTTCCTCCAGAAGTTGAGTTTGGCTGACAATGAAGATCTTAGAGGTAATTTACCAAACTCTAACTAGAGCAGTTCCCTTAGATTCTTGGATCTCCCTNAGTAGTACCTCGTTAGTGCTTGACCAAAGACTTGATGGGATAGACATCAGTGCATGACCAAGACTTGGTGATATGACAGCTGTCTCTTTACAATAGTGAATCCCACTTTGAATTTGTTCTTAATTTATACCAATCATGATATATGAATCATCTAATTCAAAGTCATCATAATAAAATTCTAAGTCCATGGAGTAGACATCAGTACATGACCAAGACTTGGTTACATTTTTCTCTTTTTATATATCTATATATACATAGACATTTCATCTTCACTTATCATCTCTCTCAACAATTTTATGCAATTTCTTCTGTTTCCTGTGAAAAACATGTGGAGGCTATCATGGCACTATCTACTTCCCTGCCTTTTCCTGCTGGACTTGAGTTTTCAAGCCATTTCCTCATCTCCTTATAACTCTTCTTCTCGTTCAATCAAACTTTGCTCCCTTGAACAAAGCTCTGCCTTACTCCATTTCAAGAGCACCTTAAAAATTGATAGTTCTTTTTCCTATCCTTACGAAGAATATAATTATCCTAAGACAGATTCTTGGAAAGAGGGAAGTGATTGCTGCTTATGGGATGGGGTCACTTGTGATAGCTGCACAGGTCATGTGATTGACCTTGACCTTTCTTCTAGTTGGATTCGTGGCACTGTCAATGACAATAGAAGTCTCTTCCTCCTTCACAATCTCCAAAAGCTCAAGCTTGCTTGTAATGACTTCAGTCAATCCACAATCTCATCCAAGTTTGGTCAATTCACGAAATTAACACATCTTAACCTTTCTTTCTCCGGATTCCATGGCGTAGTTCCAACTGAAATCTTTCACCTATCTAAACTTGCTTTGCTTGACCTCTCTAGTGATATTTCTTCCCTTCGATTACCTGAATTGAGCCAACATGTTTTTAATAAGCACTTACAGAATCTAACAAAATTAAGATATCTTCATCTTAATGCTGTGGATTTGTCTTCAGTTGCACCTGGCTCCTTGCTGAACTTGTCTTCTACTTTGATATCTCTTTTAGTTGGCGGTACTGGTCTTCAAGGCAGGTTTCCAAATGATGTTTTCCGCCTTCCATTCCTCCAGAAGTTGAGTTTCACCGGAAATGAAGATCTTAGAGGTAATTTACCAAACTCTAACTGGAGCAGTTCCCTTAGATTCTTTGATCTCTCTACGACAAATTTCTCAGGACAATTACCGGACGCAGTCGGCGATCTTATATACTTGAATGTATTGGATCTCTCTTTCACAAGTTTCTCTGGAAAATTGCCTAACAAAATTGGCAATCTTAGATACTTGAATGTGTTGGCTCTTCGTTCGATTGGATTCACAGGTTCAATTCCAACATCACTTTGGAATTGCACGAATATCACTTCTTTGGATTTGGCAGGCAATTCTTTTACAGGCGAAGTTGTAATGTCATTATCTAAGCTCAGTCAGCTCAGAAGTTTAGATCTCAGTCTCAACAGTTTTTCAGGGCAGATTCCAGATGTTTTTGGCAACCTCAGCAAATTAACCGATCTAGATCTTTCATTCAACAATTTCAGTGGTCAGTTGCCATCATCAGCATTCAACCTCCCACAACTTTCGACTTTAGACTTTCCACAAACCAATTTGAAGGTCTTATTCCATATCAAGTAAGTGGTCTTTCAAATCTATTTTCTCTCGACCTATCTCATAATTTTCTCCATGGAAGAGTTCCATCTTCGTTGTTTACTCTGCCATCTTTGGCGCTATTGGACCTTAGCAATAACAAACTCACAGGTCCGATTGAGGAGTTCCAGCAGCCTGGTTCTATGACATCTGTTTCTTTAATGAATAACCAAATTCAAGGTTCAATTCCAAATTCCATGTTTGAACTTTTAAACCTTATATACCTTAACCTTTCTTTCAATAATTTGAGTGGCATTGTGAAACCAGAAATGTTGTCCAAGCTCAAAAACATAACTACGATTGACCTCTCCCATAACACCTTACTATCTTTAGCTACCCCAAAAAAGGCCAACATTACCTTGCCTAAGCTTGAGGAGTTCAGTTTCTCATCTTGCAACATAACCGAATTCCCTTTCTTCTTAGGAACCTCAGAAAACTTGACAGATTTAGACCTTTCAAACAATGGAATTCTCGGCCAGATTTCTCAAAAACAATTGGAATTGTTTCACAATTTATACTATTTGAATCTCTCTCACAATTTTCTGACAAGTTTTGTCCCTTTTGGAAAAGTTTCCTTGATGGACCTAGCTGTTCTTGACCTTCAATCCAACTAGCTTCAAGGCCCATTTCTGATGCTAGATGCACCTAACATGGTCACCTTATTAGTTTCCAACAATACGTTGAGTGGAGAGATTGCTCCGTTCATTTGCAACTCGAACTCTATTGTATATCTTGATCTGTCTTACAATGGATTGAGTGGAACCATACCTCAATGTCTAGGAAACTCTGATAGCCTTTCAATCTTGCATCTACAAATGAACAATTTCCATGGTACCATCCCACAATCATTAGCTAATGACTTTATTCAATACCTTGACCTTAATGGCAACAAGTTGGAAGGGTCATTACCACATACTTTGGTTAACTGTAGTCGCTTGGAAGTTCTAAATGTTGGAAACAACATGATCAATGATACTTTTCCTTATTGGTTGGCAAACCTTCCGGAATTGCAAGTTCTAATTTTGAGATCTAATAGATTTCATGGTTTCATTGGCGAACCCAAGACAAGATTAGCATTTCCTAAGTTGCGAATACTTGACCTCTCTCACAATCAATTCACAGGTATTTTGCCAACAAGATATTTTGAGAAATTTAATATGATGGGTGGTAAGAATCCTAAAGGTGAATTGGAATATATAAGAGAAGATCCAGGAGCATATGACCCCCTTTATTGGAAAAGGCCAATGTATGTTCAATACTATTCCATTAGTTTGACGGTAAAAGGCGTTGATAGAAAAATAGACAAGATTCTAACCATTTTTGTAATGATGGATTTGTCAAGCAACCAATTTCAAGGGCAAATACCAACAGTAATTGTAAAGCTTAATTTCCTCCAAATCCTCAACTTTTCTCATAATAACATTAGAGGTCATATTCCACCATTATTGGGAAATTTGACAAGTCTTGAATCATTAGACCTCTCCTTCAACAAGCTTATTGGACAGATACCTAATCAGTTGGCAAGTCTGACATTTCTTTCTGAGTTAAATCTTTCATACAACCAGCTTATGGGATCTATACATAAAGGAAATCAATTCAATACATTTCAAAATGACTCCTACAAAGGAAACTTGGGGTTGTGTGGATCCCCATTGTCAAAGAAATGTGGTAATGATGTACCATCATCACCAATACCGTCCATCTACCATGAAGGAGACGCTGATTTGAACTGGTTTGATTGGAAAATCATTTTGATGGGTTACGGATCCGGATTGGTAATAAGCTTGTCTATGGGATATATTGTATTCACAATAGGAAAACCTTTATGGTTTGTATTAATGGTTGAAAGAGTGAGGCTCAGAATCATAGCAAAAGTGAAGAGAACCCATCCAAGAAGAAGAAATTAGTGACTTCAAGTGCTACTCTTCACAAGGTGAGTGGTTTGATTCTTACAACATATATTTTTATTCTTTTATGAGAATCTGAATATAAACTCCACCATTAATTTTTCAATCTTGTCTTTCTTTTCAGAGTTAGATACTTGACAAGAGCAAAAAGTATAATCGATTGAATCAACATGGTCTATATATTATCTTTCAGTACTATGTTGTTTGCGAGTTTTCATGGTAAAGCCACATTTTCTAAAAAAGTATAAATGAAAAGTGCTTTAGGTCTTGCTGGAAAGAATAATTTGTTTATTATTATTTGCGTTGTGAAGTACTTCAAGTTGATGGTAAGCTTATATTTGTTCTGATCAACAAAATGCACTTTCTACTACATTTACTAGTCTTATTGTAAGTATTTTATTTCTAAGCTTTTGCATGAGGAGAACTTATGGCAGCCTGAACATTTGAATTTTAGTCCTTGTATTCATCAATGGATTATATTGAAGAAACTTTGTGCTTTACATATTTATCTCCAAGTTTGTTTACTCATTATTGTTTTATATTAATCATGGTATTCATGAGAGTTTTTAGTCAACAAGTTATATTAAACTTTGTTCTTTACATATTTATGTCTAAATCTGTTTAGTCCTATTGTTAAAAAATGCACAAATCATTAAATTAATCAAGGAGCCTCCAATCCACAAAATATTTTTCCTTAATTGTGTTATATTAATCTTGATATTTATGGGAGTTTTTTATTACTGTATTTAAAAAAAGTAAGGATATAGTTGTAATTTTAGAACTTACAGTCAGGACAATCCTAGTAATTTACAGTCCCACTTGCCATTGCAATTTTCTCTCACACTAAATATTGAAAATGGAAGAGTAGAAGACTCTCCACTTTCACTTCTCAAAATCTTCCATTTCATTTCAACTATATCCCAAAATCTTCTCCCTCTTTTACCCTCTGAAAAACCCTATATTCCCTTTATAACCCTTCTATATTTTTAACTTTCACTAATAAACTCAATCCCAAAACCCATAATTTCTTGTACATATCTCAATCTTCTTCATTTCTCAAATTATGACCGAATTTCCCTTAAATTCTTGACTTTTAAATTCTGGGTATTTTTTTTCTCTAATTATTTTTGCTGGGATTTGCCAAAGTTTCAATTTTTGTTCACATTTCATGAATTTTGCTCTTGAATCTTCGGCTTTCAATCGAACCAAGTTCGTTACAACCATAAAAAACTCGTTTTTCCTCCACCAAAATCGATGTTCGAAATTTTCTGTCAAGATTTCACCCAGAATTCATCGCTATCCAAAGTGTCACGTTTTAGGGGCGATTGTTTTTGGGGTTTTGGTGTTTGGCTGCAAGAGAGTTTTTGCCGTGGAGAGTGCAGTAAATGCAGGGTATGGAGATATTGGGCAGAGCATATTGTTGTCGAAGAATGCTTGAATTAAAGTTTCTCAGGTTTTGAGAGTATTCAAAGAGCAAGGTTCGGTTTTGGCCGCGATTTTGGGTTTGTCTGCGTTCTTGTCAATGGCTGAGACGTCTATCACAACGCTTTGGCCTTGGAAGGTATAAAATTCTTGAGCTAGTCTGTTTTTATTTAGTGTTTATGTAATTGTATTGTCACAAACCATGCATTTAAGCGTTTGTTATTATTCTGGTCTTGGAAGTGTGTTAGCTTAGTTTGGTGTCATTTGGGTGTTAGTGGTTTACGGAGTCTGTAAACTTTTATTGCACATTGTGCACTTATAAAGTCCGATTATTATGTTGGGCATGATATTAGACTGTGTTCAGTTGTGGTGTTGTGAATGCTTTTTCTTTTTTTGGGTTTTAGTTTGCTGAAGTTGAGGGATAGCCGAATGAGAATATATGGACTAATAAAATAAGCACCAGCTCTTTGAATTCTAAACCACATTACCTGTTTCAGCATAAAAGATGTTAACTGAAACATCATATGGTACTTTTTGGTGTAAGTAGACGGTTGCCGTCTCTTCAAATAGTTTTATTTGTTCTAATTGGCCATTTGATATTATTCTGAATCAGGTGCGGGAATTGGCAGATAAAGAGCCTGATAATGGTGTCTTTAAAATGCTTCACAGTGATGTTACTCGGTTTTTGACGACTATTCTCACTGGCATGATGTACTACCCTCCCCCTTGTTGTTAGTGTAACTAATTCTTTTCTTTTCATATTGAGTTTGAAAATTAATTCTTTTATACATTCTATTTACATATTCAGTGTGGCAAATGTTGGAGCCACTGCGTTAGTCACAGAGGCAGCAACAGCTTTATTTTGTGAGGCTGGTGTGAGTGCAGCAACAGGAATAATGACTGTAGGTTGCACAGGATATAGGTTGCCATCAAACTGAGTATTTGTCCTCATTGAAACAAAGTTCATGTTGTCTATGGATTAAAAACTCATGTGGATATACACTAAGATGTCTATACCTTATTTCAATTGCTTTATCCAGTTTTCCATTTCCTGAATGATATTAGGTGGCTGTATTACTTCTCGATGAACTTACTCCAAAAAGTATTGCAGTTCATAATGCCACAGAGGTTGCTAGGTTTGTTGTAAGTTTAAAAATTATATATTTGATTTTTGTCAATTTAAATAAGGGAGTCTCTATTAATGCTTAATAGATTGGCTTTCCCTTGTTTTTTCCCCAACCTCATGCTTAATGTAGTTCTGTAGGTTTTCCGTGCTCTGCTGATGTTACTGTCTGAGCTCTATTTGACTTTGCAATGTTTCTAGGTCAGGCCAGTGGCATGGTTTTCCATGATACTTTACCCTGTGGGAAGAGTTGTTACATATCTATCAATGGGAATGCTAAAGGCTCGTGGTTTGAAAGGAAGAAGGTATGTTTGAACATGATTTTTTATTTTTTTGGTGAAAAGTTAATCATTGCTATTTGTATCTTCCACATCATACTTCATTTGTTGGCTATTTCCACCAAATGGTTTTCAGTTGTATTCAAGAAAGTATTTCTTGGCTAGCAAAAGAACACGGCACAAGGTTATGATAATAAATTTGCTATTTATGAAGTTATATTTGTATGAAGCTATTCATATCATGTTTAAGGCTATGTAGAGAAGGAAGTTAGGGTTAGAATGGGGCAGTAGGTTACTAGTAACTAAGCAAAGGTTCAAGTGGTTATTATATATGCAGCAAAAATAGGAGTCTAATCCTTGAAGTTTTATTCAATCATCTAATAATTGCGAGAGGAATTTCATTTGACTGTATTATGTTATTTTAACGGATATAGGATTTTGTTTGAATGTTGCTACTTAAGTATTGACAGGCTATGCCACAATGTCCTGTATATGAGGCAAATATTCTTATTAATGAAGACATATTCGTTATCTGTATCTTAAATATTTTATTCGTTATCTGTATCTTAATATTAGTCATGCTTTTAGTTTCTGAACGCTAGTAGTCAAAGAAATCTGTAAAGCTATTTACGCATAACCAGAAGTTTCACAATGAATTTTATTCTTCATCCTATTGCCACATTGCCAATTTCTTGGCAGAATAGATTGCTGACTAGTTAAATGTGATGGTTGCAATGATATGGCCCATTTTGATTATTTCACATTTTCCTGATAACTAACAAAAGGGGAATTTTATTAAAACAGGCTTACGATGTACAAACTAGTACCATCTCTTGTTGATTTCCACAGTTTGTGGGTAAATCATCAATATTCAAGTCAAATTAATTCTTGGTACTTTTGCCTCAGCGAGTGCATATTCAAAAGGCTAAGAAGTTTGAAAATGTGTGTTTAGGGTGCATGTGTTTGAGCAATGTGTTGGCAATATAGTGGGCATTGCTTATGCAATGGATCTGCTGGATTATTTTCAGAAGGGCAGGGGATTTCTATTCCTCTTCCTCCCTCTCTGAGGTTAATACCACGTTTTTTATTGATCTTATGCAACAATCTCCTAGTGTGCAGAATTATGAGCTTTCTATTTTGAAGGGGGATCTCCTAGAAAGTACTACAGTGGCATGGCCCACAAACCTGCATACTTCGTCCCTGGTAATCCTTAGAGCCAATTTCAAGTTGATGCTGTGTTTTTTTAAAGAAATGTGTTTTATTATTTATTTTTATGTGAACCTGTTGTTTATATTATCTGTCTGAATAAATATGGCTCCGTTATTGGTTTGCAGATTCAATGTCAGTTTGGAATCTTCTCAGAGAGTTCCGCATTAGGAAGTTTCACATGGCCATTGTTCTAAATGAGTATGATGGAACTGTGGGGGTATATACACACTCATGTTTGAACCAAACTAAGTTAGAACTAGTTTTTCATTAAACATTTTGATGTTGAAGGTTTGCTTGGGTAACTCAATAAGTACCTTTGACCTTCAGTTCTGATGTCCTAATAATCATTTTTATTTTACTTGATGAAACAGATAGTGACCCTGGAAGACGTGGTTGAGGAAATTGTTGGTGAAATCTTTGATGAAAATGATTCAAAAGTAAATCTCACTGTTAATTTTGTCTTTGTAATAACATAGCTAAATGATAGACATAATACAAGTTGTCAGTATGTTTTCATCATTATATTGATTTATTTGCATTATCTGCCCTTTATCACTCAATAACAGGAGGAGATCCAGAAAAGAAAACTGGCTACACTGTGATGTGAGCAGAGGGAATATATGATGTGGATGCTAATACATCTATTGATCAGCTCTCTGAAGACTTAAATATTAAAATGCCAGAGGTATGATGTTTCTTCTAGTAATGCTGTGCTGATGCCGTTGTTAATGCCACTGTGATGTTTATGTTAAAATGCATATTGACTAGCTAGCATGCGAAGTACTTACCGTGGCAGGATTACCCTCCATCTGTAGAAACCTGTTGATGGATAGAACTTTATTGAGAACACCCTTTATCCCTGTTGGGGGGGACCAGTTCTGGTAAAGGCTAAAGTGTCATTATTATGATAGTTTAGTAATATTTCATTGACTGAAAAGAATTTGATTAATCACCGTAATACACTTGATATTTTTTAGCATGATCTGAGACTATTTAACTGCTCAGTTATGCATTGCTGTCAATGGTAAAAGCTGTATTGCAACAGTCTTTGTCATGCATATTAAGGCTCCTATCTTATGCTTCAACTGAAGAAGTTAAGACTTGATTATATGTTGTTTTAAGTGTCCATGATTGCTTAATTTCACATATCTAGTTACCTTTTCTTTCCTATTATTTTATAGGGTCATCAGTATGAGATAGTACCAGGTTTTATATGTGAGGCCTTTGGATACATCCCAAGGACCGGTGAGTGTATGAAAGTGGTCCTTGAAAAGGAAAACCAGGAAGAAAACAAAGAACATAATGAATCTGGATCTGACCGCCAAGAATTGAAGGAAAAGCATCTGATTTACAAACTCGAGGTATGGTCTCGATCCTTTTTACTCTTGTGGAAGCTCCATCTCATTAAGTTGTGGTTATAAGTTTATTTTTACCTCTACATTACGTTATTGAATATTGGTTTTTCTAGGAATAGCTTAGCTTAGCTTCTGAATCATTGTGTGTCTAAGTTCTCAAGGATCATTTCTAGAACCTTTACATTCTTACTTCTCCATCTGGCCTACTTCCCATCATAGACGTAGCCAGGAATACAATCTAGGAGGGGACAATTTAAACAATCATAAAATTTTACAAAATATAACATTTATTAAATCTTCAATATTCATTTATAATATTTAATTCAATCTATTTATAGTTGTTTTTGATGCATTTTCGTATTTTAAAAATATACTACATATATAATTTGTTATCAGTACCAAAAGAATCAACTATAGTTGTTACAAATTTACCAAATTAAAATATTGAGTAATAATTGTTTATGGTACGTACTAATTCAATTGGGGATGTTATATTTAATGAGAACTAAGACTTTGTTTATGAAAAGTCATGGAATTCGTCAAATTTACAGTCCTTCAACGGAAGTCTTCTATCTTATTCATTTATAATATTTTATTTAATGAAAAGACATGAAGACAATATCGTGTTTTCAACAGGAAAGCCTCAGTGGCTTGTAAGGACAGTTGAAGGACACTATCGAAAGGGGAGAAGGCCGAACAAGAGACATTGCGGACAAAAAGAGTAGTTCTTTCAAGTTCTCTGGGGTAAGTATTGTTTCAAAACTGATATTATCAAATGCATACTTTTTTTATAGTATTGATGATATATACGTTGTACAAGCTAGTTTTATAATTTGACTCAGCTAGATTTGAGATCATGGCTACTCTATTGGAAACTCACTCCTTTTATTTCCATTTTGCAGACGTGTAAGGATTCGATTCTATGGTAATGAAGAATTTGGGAAAGAGCGTGCAGTAGAAATCAATCTGTAGAACCTTCTGAATAAGTTGGTATATTCAAAATCTTGGGAGTGTTTACATAGTCTTATCATAGGATTTCTGAATATTATTGGAGTTAGAATTACGAGCTATGATGTAGGCTTTAATATCCTATTTTGTTGAATTTCAGTTTAACAAAATGCTGTAAGTTTGTGATATTTATTCAGAATAGTAATTTATGGGGCCTCTGGCTCTTCAGCCCTGCCCTGTTTCTTCAGTGTAGGTAACCTTGTGTTTAATAATATCGCCAGATGATTAACTGCTTTATTATAACGATATTAAGTCATGAATAATGCCATGAGTAATTTAATTTGCCATCATCAAAACTGTCGACCAAATGTTGAAAAAAGGATAGTTCTGTAATTAGGCAAAGTTATCAGACTGTTTTGTAATTAGGTTAGTTGTTATGCGGTGCCGTTTTGCCCTTCTCTATATAAACAGAAGAAACTGTAGCTTAAAGTCAGTTAATGAAAACGCTACTGAATCAGCTCAGTTAACGAGCTCTTCTCTTTCAAATTTCCTTTCGTGCTTGACCAAAACATAACACAATTTCTTTATCAGAGATATAACTCCATCATTCGTCAGCATTTATATCATGTTTCTTCACTACACTTGAAGTTCCCGTCTTTGCCATATTAATTGGAAAAGTTTACAATCTTCTTAAAACTGAGTTTCTATACGCATGTATGAATAGCAAACTAGACTTTGGTATTTTTTTGTATTAGAAAAACGTCATTGGTTGGAGACATACGGCGGATCATAGAAAATTCTATAACGTTTCTTGGAATATTCAAAGCAAGGACCAAGACTTGATGCTATATTAATGGTCGAGTAGTCTTCTGAATGAGAGAGAAAACAATCTGATATAAATTGTCCTTAAAACTTACGGTCATAACATCATAACCATATATTAATTTCCACGCCTACTTTCTCTCCTTATACGGCCCCATGTTTGTTGAATGTGGAAATTTCTGTTGGTATAATAAGTCAGTCTTGTGCTTAGACGGTGTCCAATGTTCTTAGATGGGAAGTAGTCAATACTCAAGTCTCTTTAGATACGTTAACCTTACGTTTGTCATTAATTTCGCAGAAAAAATGTCACAAAGACCTTCCTACGCAGTAGTTAAATTATTGGGGAAGTCATGTAGGCTTTTCCCCACCGCATCAGCCAATTGAGACGCAATAATTTTCAAAACGCGTAAAAAGACGAAGATTGAAGCAAAAGATGAATATATACCTAACACATGTATCTTTAAACTTGAATTTAAAATTTTCAAATATTTTGAATTTTGAGGTTGAATAATTATGAGTTACAAATTTACAATTCCTATAACACTCTCTAAAACTTTTAGAATTACAGTTTATAGAAGCAACTTAGCTTGAAACTTTTAAGAAGCATTTGCCGTCACAGAAGTATGATCTATGACTTAGAAAATAGATAGAAACGGGAGAAATATAGAAAAGATTTATAAGATTAGAAATGTCCACTAAATTTCAAGAAATAACCATACATATATCAACCTTTTCATCTTAATCATCTAAATTCCCTTTTGCAACATCTATGATCATTTGTAGGGACGGCAAAATCTGGTTAACTAGACCGGTTTGCCATATCTTTAAACCAAATTGGATTCTGGTTCGAGTGGAAAACTAAACCAAAACTAGACTAGTTTTCTACTTGAACTAGTTAACCGAAAAATCGATTTAGTTAACTGGTTACCTGGTTTTAAACCGGTTTTTACAAATGGCCTTGGACCATTTTGGCCCAATTCCATCCGTCCCTCCACTTTGGCTTGGACCACTTTGGTTCGATTTTTCTTTTCAATTCAGTTTTCTGAGTTTTTTTTCCACCCCTAGTCATTTGGGCTTTTGCTTCAGCATGTGACTTATTGCTCAAATTAAAGTATCTCAATATTGACCACACAATAGGAAGAAGAAAATTTTAAGTAAGAAAGTGACTTCAAGCATTGCAAGAATATTTTCCTATATAATGTGGGATTGGAAAATAATGTAGACAATATAATTTTCTAGTTAAAAGACCAAGACTTATAATTAAATTGACATGTCTATTTGCCTGTTCCTCACTTCAAGGGCCCAAGAAACAAGCTATAAGTCTCCAAATACGTAAACAATAAGTTTGTCTTCTCATATACAGGAATATGATGACTCTAGTAGAGAATGAATATGCTAAATCAATGATAGAGTGGCAGCGGAAACAAAGGCATTTTTGTTTCCAAGCTAGTAGACCAAGACTTTATACACACTAATCATATTATTGGACAAGTTTAGGTAAGTAGACCAAGACTTTATACACGCTTCTTTGGTCGTGCATTAGCCACGAATTCAAGTCTCCTTACATAGTTTACATTTGATTCCTTACATTGTTCTCAAAACTAACAAGGGAGATTAGCGAGAAGAATAGTTATTTACTAAAAGATCTATATATATTATTAGATGTGCAAAAATTGTGATTGATTGTCAATAAATAAAAATGTAATGGAAGAGTAGGTCATGACCATGAATGAGTTAAAATACACATGTACTAAGATACTTTGAAGTTTATGCATGTAAATTCATAATTTTCTAACTGGTAGAATACCAGTTTGGTTGTTTACGCTACCACCTCTGCAATCATTAGACCTTACCAACAACAAACTCAATGGTTCACTTAATCAGTTCAACTTCTCAGCTCCATTGCGTTACCTTTCTTTGGAGAATAATCAAATTCAAGGTCCATTTCCTGATATCATTTTTGAACTTCTGAATCTTACTGTTCTTGACTTGTCAATAAACAGCTTGAGTGGCACAGTGAAGTCAGAATTGTAACCGAAACTTAGACATCTTGAAGCACTTCAACTTTCCTATAATAGCTGACTAAAGTTAAACCACAACAATCTCAACTTTACCTTGCCCAAGCTTATGTTTTTCGGTTTACCTTTCTTCTAACTTAACTCAATTCTCGAGTTTCTTGAGGACCGCAAAATTTTTGTACATTTCCAGCAACAAAATTTCTGGCCAAATTTCCCAACTGGAATCAAAATTGTGTCAGAATTAGTATATCCTAAATTTTATCTCGCAATAACCTTACAAATTAATCACTCCTTTGCAATAGCAGTGGCATCCATTTCTTGATAGAAATTCTCTGCTGATGAAATTTATCAAGAAAATTTCTTTACATTTTTTTTTTTATGGAGAAGTTTTGCCAACCTTAACATTACTGTTAGCTCTTGAATCCAATCCATGTAAGACATTTGTGGTATTTCTTATTAGAACGTAGAAAAAGAGCCCCTAGATGATCAGGACTAAATCCAGTAGTACCTCGTTAATGCTTGACCAAAGACTTGATGGGGTAGACATCAGTGCATGACCAAGACTTGGTGATATGACAACTGTCTCTTTACAATAGTGAATCCCACTTTGAATTTTGTTTCCAATTGATACCAATCATGATATATAAATCATCTAATTCAAAGTCAATCATAATAAATTTCTGGTTACATTTTTCTCTTTTTATTTATCTATATATACATAGACATTTCATCTTCACTTCACATCTCTCTCAACAATTTTATGCAATTTCTTCTGTTTCCTGTGAAAAACATGCGAAGGCTATCATGGCACTATCTACTCCTCTGCCTCTTCCTGTTGGACTTGAATTTTCAAGTTATTTCCTCATCTCCTTATAACTCCTCTTCTCGTTCAATCAAACTTTGCTCCCCTGAGCAAAGCTCTGCCTTACTCCATTTCAAGAGCACCTTAAAAATTCATAGTTATTCTTACTATCTTTGCGAAGAATATTATTATCCTAAGATAGATTCTTGGAAAGAGGGAAGTGATTGCTGCTCATGGGATGGGGTCACTTGTGATAGCTACACAGGTCATGTCATTGGCCTTGAACTTTCTTTAAGTGGGATCCATGGCACTATCAATGACAATAGTAGTCTCTTCCTCCTTCGCAATCTCCAGAAGCTCAAGCTTGCTTGTAATAATTTCGGTGAATCCATTATCTCATCGAAGTTTGGTCAATTCACGAAATTAACCCATCTTAACCTTTCTTCCTCCGGATTCCATGGCTTAGTTCCAACTGAAATCTATCACCTATCTAAACTTGTTTCGCTTGACCTCTCTGGTGGTATTTCCCTTAGTTTACCTATACTGAGCCAACATGTTTTTAATAAGCACTTACAGAATCTTACAAAATTAAGATATCTTCATCTAGATGGTGTGGATTTGTCTTCAGTTGCACCTGGCTCCTTGTTGAACTTGTCTTCTACTTTGATATCTCTTTCAGTTGGCAGTACTGGTCTGCAAGGCAGGTTTCCAAATGATGTTTTCCGCCTTCCATTCCTCCAGAAGTTGCGTTTGACCGGAAATGAAAATCTTAGAGGTAATTTCCCAAACTCTAACTGGAGCAGTTCCCTTAGATTCTTGGATCTCTCTATGACAAATTTCTCAGGCGAAGTTGTAATGTCATTATCTAAACTTAGTCAACTCAGAAGTTTAGATCTCAGTCTCAACAGTTTTTCAGGGCAGATTCCAGATGTTTTTGGCAACCTCAGCAAATTAACTGATCTAGATCTTTCATTCAACAATTTCAGTGGTCAGTTGCCATCTTCAGCATTCGACCTCCCACAACTTTCGGTTTTAGTCTTTTCTGGAAACCAATTTGAAGGTCACATTCCATATCAAGTAAGTGGTCTTTCAAAGCTACTTTCTCTCGACCTATCTGGTAATTTTCTCGATGGAAGAGTTCCATCTTGGTTGTTTACTCTACCATCTTTGGAGACATTGGACCTTAGTTATAACAAACTCACAGGTCCAATTGAGGAGTTCCGTCAGCCTGGTTCTGTGAATTTTGTTTCTTTAATGAATAACCAAATTCAAGGTTCAATTCCAAATTCCATGTTTGAACTTTTAAACCTTACAAACCTTGACCTTTCTTCCAACAATTTGAGTGGCATTGTGAAACCAGAAATGTTGTCCAAGCTCAAAAATATAATTATGATTGACCTTTCCCATAACACATTACTATCTTTAGTTACCCCCAAAAAGGCCAACATTACCTTGCCTAAGCTTGAGGAGTTCGATTTCTCTTCTTGCAACATAACCGAATTCCCTTTCTTCTTAAGAACCTCAGAAGACTTGAATATTTTAGACCTTTCAAACAATAGAATTCACGGCCAGATTTCCCAACAACAATTGGAATTATTTCAAAATTTATACTATTTGAATCTCTCTCACAATTCTTTGACAAGTTTTGTCTCTTTTGGAAAAGTTTCCACGATGAATCTAGTTGTTCTTGACCTTCAATCCAACTTGCTCCAAGGCCCACTTGTGATGGTAGATGCACCTACTATGGACATCTTAGTAGTTTCCGACAATATGTTGATTGGAGAGATCCCTCTGATCTTTTGCAACTTGAGCTATCTTGATCTGTCTTACAATGGCTTTAGTGGAACCATTCCACAATCATTAGCTAATATCCATATTCGATACCTTGACCTTAATGGTAATAAGTTGGAAGGGTCATTACCACATTCTTTGGTTAATTGCAGTAAGGTGGAAGTTCTAAATGTTGGAAACAACATGATCAATGATACTTTCCCTTATTGGTTAGCAAACCTTCCAGAATTGCAAGTTCTGATATTGAGATCTAATAGATTTCATGGTTTCATTGGCGAACCCAAGACAAGATTAGCATTTCCAAAATTGCGAGTACTTGACCTCTCTCACAATCAATTCACAGGTATTTTGCCAACAAGATACTTTGAGAAATTTAATATGATGTGTGGTAAGAATAATGAAGATGAATTGGATTACATGGGAGATGATCCAAATCCAATTTTTCTACCCTATTCGAATGGGCCGATCCATGCTCAATACTATTCCATTAGTTTGACGGTAAAAGGCGTTGATATAAAAATGGACAAGATTCTAACCATTTTCGTAATGATGGATTTGTCAAGCAATCAATTTCAAGGGCGAATACCAACAGTAATTGGAAAGCTTAAGTCCCTCCAAATCCTTAACTTTTCTCATAATAACCTTATAGGTCATATTCCACCATTATTGGAAAATTTGACAAGTCTTGAATCATTAGACCTGTCATTCAACAAGCTTGTTGGAGAGATTTCTAATCAGTTGGCAAATCTAACATTTCTTTCTGTGTTGAATCTTTCATACAATCAGCTTGTGGGATATATACCTCAAGGAAATCAATTTAATACATTTCAAAATGACTCCTACATTGGAAACTTGGGGTTGTGTGGATCCCTATTGTCAAAGAAATGTGGAAATGATGTACCATCATCACCAATACCGTCCATCTACCATGAAGGAGACGATGATTCGAGCTGGTTTGATTGGAAAATCGTTTTGATGGGTTACGGATCCGGATTGGTAATAGGCTTGTCTATAGGATACATTGTATTCACAACAGGAAAACCTTTATGGTTTGTATTAGTGGTTGAAAGAGTGAGACTCAGAATCATAGCAAGAGTGAAGAGAACCCATCTAAAAAGAAGAAATTAGTGATTTCAAGCGTTGCTCTTAACAAGGTGAGTGGTTCAATTTTTACAGCATATATTTTTATGCTTCTGCAAGAACCTGAATATAAACTCCACCATTAATTTTTCAGCATTCTCTTTCTTTTCAGAGCTAGATACTTGACAAGAGCAAAGAGTATAATCGATTGAATCAGCATGGTCCATTTATTATATTTCAACACTCTGTTGTCGACATTTTCCAGAAAAGCATAAATGAAAAATGCTTCAATTGTTGCTGGAAAGAATAATTTATTTATTATTATTTGTGTTGTAAAGTACTTCCAGTCAATGGTAAGCTTATATTTTTTCTGCTCAACAAAATGCACTTTCTGCTAAATTTACTTGATCTACTGTAAGTGTTTTATTTTAAGCTTTTGCATGAGGAGAACTTTTTGCCAGCCTGAACATTTGACTATCAAGCTCTTGAATTTTAATCTTTGCATTCATGGGAGTTTTTAGTCAATGAGTTGTACAAGAAACTTTGTACTTCACATATTTATCTCTAAATCTTTAGTCCTATTATGTTATATTAATCCTGGTTTTTTTTTTTTTTTTTAATTTAAAAAAAGTAAGGTTATAGTTGTAATTTTAGAACTTACTCAGGGCAATCCTAGTAATTTACCACCCCCACTTGTCATTGCAATTTGTTACACAACACACTAAAACCCGTCCTTCAAAGTTCAAAATACCAAACCAAATAAATGGCAGTCTCTCCACTTACACTTCTCTAAAAATCTTCCATTTCAACTATATCCCAAAATCTTCTCCCTCTTTTACCCTCTGCAAAACCCTATATTCCCTTTATATCTCTTCTCGATTTTTCACTCTCACTAATAAACTCAATCCCAAAACCATAAATTCTTGTACATATCTCAATCTTCTTCATTTCTCAAAATTTGACCGAATTTCCCGTTAATTCTTGACTTTCAAATTCTGGGTTTCTTTTTCCTCTAATTATTTTTGCTGGGATTTATCAAAGTTTCATTTTTTAATCATTTTTGTTCTAATTTCATGGATTTTGCTCTTGAATCTTCGGTTTTCAATCGACCCACGTTTGTTCCAAAAATAAAAAACTCGTTTTTCCTCCACCAAAATCGATGTTCTAAATTTCCTGTCAAGATTTCACCCAGAATTCATCACTATCCAAAGTTTCACATCTCTAGATTGCCGAAAAACAAAATTTCCGACACTAGAACCCACGTGAAACCAATAAAAAGAGTCACTGCAGAACTGGGTCGTGAAAAAAATGAAGTTTTGGATTCAAATTTAGAGAAAGTTAAGATTCTGATGAAAGGGGGAGTCGTTTTAGGGGCACTTATTTGTGGGGTTTGGGTTTTTGGTTGCAAGAGAGTTTTTGCTGTGGAGAGTGCAATAAATGCAGGGTATGGAGTTATTGGACAGAGCATATTGTTGTTGAAGAATGCTTGGCCTAAAGTTTCTCAGGTTTTGAGAGTGTTTAAAGAGCAAGGTTTGGTTTTGGCTGCGCTTTTGGGGTTGTCTGCGTTCTTTTCAATGGCTGAGACATCAATCACCACGCTTTGGCCTTGGAAGGTATAAAGTTCTTGAGCTAGTCTGTGTTTGTTTATAGTTTATGTAATTGTGTTGTCACAAATTATGCATTTAAGGGTTTGTTATTATTCTGGTCATGGATGTGTATTAGCTTAGTTTGGTGTCATTTTGATGTTGGTGGTTTATGGAGTCTTAGAACAATTTATTGCACATTGTGTTATTATTTTGAAAAGCAAATTATATTTATTCTAGTGCTATTTTACCTTATGTACTTATAAAGTCCAATTATATTATGTTGGGTATAATATTAGACTGTGTTCCGTTGAGGTTTTGTGAATGCTTTTTCTTTTTTGGGGTTTTAGTTGGCTGAAGTTGAGGAATAGTCGAATGAGAATATATGGACTAATAAAATAAGGACAAGCTCTTTGTACTCTAGACCACATTACCTGTTTCAGCAAAAAAGATGTTAACTGAAACATCATATGATACTTCTTGGTGTAAGTAGATGATTGCCATCTCTTCAAATAGTTTTATTCGTTCTAATTGGCCATTTGATATTATTCTGAATCAGGTGCGGGAATTGGCAGAAAAAGAACCTGATAATGGTGTCTTTAAAATGCTTCGCAGTGATGTTACTCGGTTTTTGACGACTATTCTCATTGGCACAACGTATTACCCTCCCCCTTAATGTTAGTGTAACTGATTCTTTTCTTTCCATATTGAGTTTGAAAATTAATTCTTTTATAAATTCTATTTACATATTCAGTGTGGCAAATATTGGAGCCACTGCGTTGGTCACAGAGGCAGCAACAGCTTTATTTGGTGAGGCTGGTGTCAGTGCAGCAACAGGAGTAATGACTGTAAGTATAGATTCTATTATGAACTCATATTGAAATGTCAGGCAGTGGTTATAGTTGACATCTAAGTTAGGGGTGAACAGGGGATAGGCTGCCATCAAACCGAGTATTTGTCCTCACTGAAACAAAATTCATGTTTTCTATGGATTAAAAACTCGTGCAGATACACTAAGATGTCTATACCTTATTTCAATTGCTTTAACCAGTTTTCCATTTCCTGAATGATATTAGGTGACCGTTTTACTTCTCACTGAAATTACTCCAAAAAGTATTGCTGTTCATAATGCCACAGAGGTTGCTAGGTTTGTGGTAAGTTTAAAAATTATATATTTCATTTTCTTCAATCTAAATAAGGACATCTCTATTAATTCTTAATAGATTTGACTTTCCCTTGTTTTTTTCCCCAATCTCATGCTTAATGTAGTTCTGCAGGTTTTCCATGCTTTGCTGATGTTACTGTCTGAGCTCTATTTGACTTTGCAATGTTTATAGGTCAGGCCAGTGGCATGGCTTTCCTTGGTACTTTACCCTGTGGGAAGAGTTGTTACATATCTATCAATGGGAATGCTAAAAGCTCTTGGTTTGAAAGGAAGAAGGTATTTGATCATGATCTTTTATTTTTACTGTGAAAAGATAATCATTGCTATTCTTTTTTTATCTTCCACATCATACTTCATTTGTTAGCCATGTCCATCAAATAGTCATGTCTCTTGGTCATGTTGTGATTTTTTTGACAACTCATTTGAATGAACCAAATGGTTTTCAGTTGTATTCAAGAAAGTATTTCTTGGGTAGCAAAAGAACAGGACACAAGGTTATGATAATAAATTTGCTATTTATCAAGTTATATTTGTCTGAAGTTATTCATATCATGTTTAAGGCTATGTAGAGAAGGAAGTTAGTGTTAGAATGGGGCAGCAGGTTACTAGCAATGAAGCAGAGGTTTAAGTGGTAGTTATATATGTAATAAAATTAAGAGTCTAATCATCTAATAATTACAAAAGCAATTTCATTTGACTCTATTATGTTATTAAAACGGATTTAGGATTTTGTTTGAATGTTGCCACTTAAGTATTGATCAGGCTATGCCCCAATGTCCTGTATATGAGGGAAATATTCTTATTAGTAGGGACATATTAATTGAAAGAGTCATTACATAGTTTGTCATAAATAATGTTCTATAAACTATTTTTTCCCCATTCGTTATTTGTATCTTAAATGTTTTCTTTATCAGTGAGCCATATGTTACTGAAGACGAGTTGAAGCTGATGTTGCGCGGAGCAGAGTTGAGTGGGGCAATAGAGGAGGAAGAACAGGTAATGAAATTAATGAATTATAATTTTCCCATATTTTCACGTTTTGATGTTAAGTGTAAGTCCTTTAGTTTAATTTCTGAACGCTAGTAGTCAAAGAAATCTGTAAAGCCATATACACATAACCAGAAGTTTCACAATGAATTTTATTCTTATCCTATTGCCAATTTCTTGGCAGAATAGATTGCTGACTAGTTAAATGTGATTATCGCAATGATATAGCTAATTTTGATTAGTTCACATTTTCTTGATAACTAAAAAAAGAGGAATTTTATTAAAACGAACTTACAACATACGAACTAGTGCCATCTCTTTGTGAATTTTTGAACTACTTATACCTCAAGATATCATGTAAAACTTTCCAAGAGTTTGTTTTTGTTTGTTTTATGGTTCAAATGCTCTTTTCTTAAGAACTTTTTTGCAGGATATGATTGAAAATGTGTTAGAGATAAAGGATACACATGTTAGAGAGGTGATGACACCTCTTGTTGATGTAGTTGCAATTGATGCGAGTGCCACTCTTGTTGATTTCCACAGCTTGTGGGTGACTCATCAATATTCAAGGTAAATTAGTTCTTGGTACTTTCGCTGCAGTGAGTGCATATTCAAAAAGCTAAGAAGTTTGAGGATGTGTGTTTAGGGTGCCTGTGTTTGAGCAACGTGTTGACAATATAGTGGGCATTGCTTATGCAATGGATCTGCTGGATTATGTTCAGAAGGTCAGGGGATTTCTATTCCTCTTTCTCCCTCTCTGAGGTTAATACCACATTTTTTATTGATTTTATACGACAATCTCAAAGTGTGCAGAATCATGATCTTTCTATTTTGAAGGGGGATCTCCTAGAAAGTACTACAGTGGGAGACATGGCCCACAAACCTGCATACTTCGTCCCTGGTAATCCTTAGAGCCAATTTCAAGTTGATGCTGTGTTTTTTTAATGAAATTTGTTGTATTATTTTTATCTGAATCTGTTGTTTATATTATCTGTCTGAATAAAGAGGGTTTTGTTATTGGTTTGTAGATTCAATGTCAGTTTGGAATCTTCTCAGAGAGTTCCGCATTAGGAAGGTTCACATGGCTGTTGTTCTAAATGAGTATGGTGGAACTGTGGGGGTATATACACACTCATGTCTGAACCAAACTAAGTTAGAATTAGTTTTTCATTAAACATTTTGATGTTGAAGTGTTGCTTGGTAACTCAATAAGTACCTTTGGCCTTCAGTTTTGATGGCCTAATAATCATTTTCGTTTTCTGGATGAAGCAGGTAGTGACCCTGGAAGATGTGGTTGAGGAAATTGTTGGTGAAATCTTTGATGAAAATGATTCAAAAGTAAATCTCACTGTTAATTTGGTCTTTGTAATAACATTTCTAAATGATTGACATAATACAGATTGTCAGTATGTTTTCATCATTATATTGACTTATTTGGATTATCTGCCCTTTATCACTCAATAACAGGAGGAGATCCAGAAGAAAACTGGCTACATTGTGATGCGAGCAGAGGGAATATATGATGTGGATGCTAATACATCTATTGATCAGCTTTCCGAAGACTTAAATATCAAAATGCCAGAGGTATGATGTTCTTCTAGTAATGCCGTTTTGATGCTATTGTTAATGCCACTGTGACGTTTATGTTAAAATGCATATTGATTAGCTAGCATGTGAAGTACTTATCGTGGCAGGATTACCCTGTCACATTAATAATTGTGAAGTATCCGCAATTCCCCTTCATCTGTAGAAACCTGTTGATGGATAGAACTTTATTGAGAACACCCCTTTATCCCTATTGGGGAGGACCAGCACTGGTAAAGGCAAAAGTGTCATTATTATGATAGTTTAGTAATATTTCATTATGACTGAAAAGAATTTGATTAATTACACTAATACACTTGATATCTTTTACCTTGATTTGTGGACTGATCTGAGACTATTTAACTGCTCAGTTATGCATTACTTCAATGGGTAAAAGCTGTAACCCACAGTCTTCGTCGTGCATATTAGGGCTCATATCTTATGCTTCAATTGAAGAAGTTAGATTTGATTATATGTTGTTTTAGGTGTCCATGATTGCTTAATTTCTCATAACTAGTTGACCTTTTCTTTCCTATTATTTTATAGGGTCATCAGTATGAGACGGTATCAGGTTTTATATGTGAGGCCTTTGGATACATCCCAAGGACCGGTGAGAGTATGAAAGTGGTCCTTGAAAAGGAAAACCAGGAGGAAAACGAAGAACATGATGAATCTGGATCTGACCACCAGGAATTGAAGGAAAAGTATCTAATTTACAAACTCGAGGTATGGTCTTGATCCTTTTGTGCTACATTTACTCTTGTGGAAGCTCCATCACATTAAGTTGTGATTACAAGTTTATTATATTTTTACCTCTACATCACATTACTAAATATTGGTTTTTCTAGGAATAGCTTAGCTTCTGAATCATTGTGTGTCCTAGTTCTCAAGGATCATTTCCAGAACCTTTACATTCTTACTTCTCCATCTGAACTACTTCCTATCATAGACGTAGCCAGGAATATGATTTAGGAGTGGCCAATTTAAACAATCATAAAATTTTACAGATATAACATTTATTAGATCTTTAATATTCATTTATAATATTCTATTTAACGTATTTATAGGTGTTTTTTATGCATTTTCGTATTTTTAAAATACACTATGATATATAACTTGTTATCAGTACCAAACGAATCAACTATATTTGTTACAAATTTACAAAATTAAAATTTTTGAGTAATAATTGTTTATGGTACGTACTAATTCAATTGGGAATGTTGTATATTTAATGAGAACTTAAGACTCTGTTGATGAAGAAAAAGTTAGTCTCGTTGGCTCCAGCCATGCTTCCCATCATGTCTTTTGTTTAGTATCATGCATGGTGAACTATATTTTCCATTGTTTAAAGGTAAACCCTTCAGATCCCACTGCTAGCAATCTTTCATATCAGTTGACTGTCACCTTTTGTATTACATGGGTCTGGTCGACAAGATAAGAAGGCGGTGCCCTCTGATTTTAGATTCTTGAAATAACCTATGAATTTATATATGTGGATGATACATACAGTGATTGCAAGTCCTATGAACTATCATTTGATAATTAGCCCACACAAGTTATTTTGTTCTGATTTTCTCTAGTTGCTTATTTGAAAAGGATTTTGGAATCTGATGAGTCTTGTTCCAACCCACTATAAGATTTCACTCAATGATTTCTACGTTCAGTCCTTAGAAGTGCATGCTTAAACAAGTCTATATGTTGATTAGCTGTTTTAACAGTTATTCTCGTCTTCAATGCAGATATTAGCTGGAAATGCCAGAAAAGTTGGTGCTGTTCGGTTTGAACGGATGAACAATGATGAAGCGAAGTTTGAGGCAAAAGAAGTAACTCGCTTGGTTCCGAAAATCATGAAGAGAAAATGGAGCAGTGATGATGAATGGGATAGTAACGATTATGACGGTGATGCATACTCAAAAAGAGTTGAGGATGATCCCTCTGGTGACCATGTAATTGCTGAAAATGAAGATGGTCGTCATGACTCTACCATAACAAATTAGTTACATGCACCCGTTTGTTTTTCACCCCTTATTATTACGGCACCATGAACAGCGGTTAAAACATTGAGAAGATGATGACAAAAAGGAGAGGTAGAGATGATTGATGAACTGACATTTTACCTTTTTTATGCTAGGAAATTGTAAATTTTTTATTTTTATTCTTTTTAACTAAAGACAAGTATCAACATCTGAGCAATGGCAGTTTTTTGTATAGTACACGATAATATTTGTTGACCACAAGTAGTTCCTCAGAAGATCAAGAGAAGTATATATGGCCAGGACAGCAGAGTAGTTGCTCGAAGAAATAGCCATGTTGAGGTGGCTTAGACAGATCAATTTATTTAATTTAAAAGTAATATTATCTTAAAATTCAAAAAAAAAAAATATTCTCATCTCAAAGTGATGAACAGTGTTTTAAAACTCAACCCAAGGGAAAACCCGGCAAAGTGGTCGGGTCCCAGATTGATCGGTTGAACTGATTTGACCGGTAGTTTCGGGTCAAACCAATGACTTCATCATGTAAAAGGTTTGAAATCTAGTAAAAACACTTTTACAAATTATACATAAGTCTCTACAAATTTGAAATCTTGTAAAAACATCTCAAATTACACCACCGACGTCGACAACTCAGGCCTAATAAAGCATGTTTTCGGTGTCAATAACACATTCCATCATCACGAAAACTCTTCCCTTAACCTACTAACCAAAACTCATCTCACTCCATCCTCATTCGCCTTGCCAATCACCGGTAACAGTCCACTGTTTTTAGTGATCTTTTTTGCGATTTTCAATCATTTGACTTGCTAAAAATCACCGTCTTTGTCACCTTTCGACCCACCGGTCTTCCTCTTCAAAAGTCTCAACATCCCAGTTACCAATTGTTCGTTGATCGTCATCCTAATCTCTATGGTTTTCTGTGAACAGTCAAAATTAAAAATCCGCTCGTGAAGGCCCCAAGTCCAAGTTGGACCAGTTTAACCAACCGAATCAGGCCGGGTTTTAAAACACAAGTGATGAATGTGTTATTCCATGTGACATTAGAAAATGATATCTGTCTCACCAAAGGAGGTAACCATCTTCCTGCTAGCTATTTCCTTGAATCGACCAGATTCATATGTATGAAAACACATTGGCAAGCATATATGGCCCCCCTTACATGAAAACCTTCAATCTTTCGTTAAACAAATAACCCCAATCAATCTGCCAAGTTCATTATTATGTTCCTCAAAACCCTTTTAAGAAGTTTGAAGGGTTTTTCAGGATTGGTGTGGAGGGTGGTGCCTGGGAATCCCCACACAAACAATGCTTTGCACATTAAATTAATAACCACTTTTATATTTTATAATAATATTTTAATTAAAGATTTATAATATTGCAATTGAAGCCACCACTAACATATAATATTAATGCTTTAAACAAATTCACCGTCAACATGCCTTTAACTTGTATTCAACAGGTTTGTTTTAAAACCCGGATCGGAGGGCAAACCGTTTTGCTGTCCGGGTCATGGGTCAACTGGTCCAACCAGTTGGACCAACTGATTGGACCGATGACATCAATAATATTTTATTTTTAAAAAATTACATATTAATCTCCTAAATTTCAATATATTACAAAAATTCTCCTAAAAAAGTTCAAATTGGTCCCTAAAATTTTTATTTATTCCAAAAATACCCCAATAAAATTACCAATTAATCCCTAAACTTTTGATATATCTCCAAAATACTCCTATAAAATTACAAAGTAACCCTCATAATTTTAAAATATTTCAAAAAACCCCCTAAGACCTAAACCGAACCGGAGAAGCTGCCGATTCCCGGTCCAACCGGTTCGATCGCCCGGTCCGGTCCAGTTTTTAAAACAAAGGCAACAGAAACCCCTGCGTTGCACAACCCCAATAATATTACATATAAATAAACTCATCATTTAAATTAATTTATACAAATTTATGTGCCAGTTTTGTATGATTTTCACATTATTAAATTTTTAATTTCATTTAATTATATTATAACTATATGGGTCAAAAATCGTATTGGGTCTGACAAGATCCAATAAACGAAATAAATATATTACAACCCAATGCCTTAACTCAATTCCAGTTGGACTACGTTTAAATCCACTTTGTGGATTGATCACTCCATGAGTTGGGTTTTCCTACAAATTAAGCTGAATTGGGCTCTAGTTCATTAGCCCACAGTCATCCCAAAATAGGAATCAAAATACAATTTACTTTTCACTTCAATCAAGATCCAAAATCTTACTCAAATTGATAATCCTAATCCGATAGAGGCAAGTCACAAGACTTTCTTCCTAATGCTAACTCTTCTACCAAGTAGAACTCAAAGTCCTATTAGGACGCAAGCTCCCTTGAACTCCTATATAAATAGAGGCCAAACCTCTCATGATGCATTCAAAAATCACTTATAGCTTTAGCTCCTAAATTCTTGCTCTTAAGAATCTCCATATTCCCCGCCGTAAAGCTTACTTCTCACTAACTTTACCACATTCAACCACTACAAAGCTGTGCTCCGACCACTTTGTATTAGTCTAGCCCTAGTCATATTGTGGTAAACTCTTTTCTGCTCTCAACCCTCACTAAAATACCTTCACCTGTGTTGATTTGAGTGTCAGAGTGCTTACGACAGACACTACACCAGTGTCACCCGAACTTTCATGTTTGTTTTCTCTTTTTGTGCAGGTCAATCCGATTACTAGTGGCTCGCTTCTCACAAAATCTGTCCCTTCTGAATCAACAGTAGATTTTATGGTCTATGATAACACTTATTAGTTTTATATTATTTTCCGATCAAATGTGAGGGAAGTTGATTCCAAACAAAAGGAAGTTCTCTTTTCCTGGGTGGAACCGTGACCCATGACATGACACTATAGGATATTGTTTCTTATAATATTGGCAATAATAATATCCCAAAGTGAAAGTTGTCGCATGACACAATCTCATTCTCTAATTATATTTCCTCTAATAGTTTTCTGCAAACACTTTTTAATTTGCATGGAGCCTACCATGATATTGACAAAAAATTGATGATCATTCAAAAGATTTAACCATTGAGATGATCATCAAACCTCCATTATCTTTCCCTGTGTCACTAGCTAGCAATATATAATCATTTGCGATCTCTCTTCTCCCTTTCTCTCACTTTATTCTTTCCTGGTTCTCTTCTTCATCTTCTCTCTCTGTCTTTGCCATAGCATAGCATCCCTGGTGGCTTGGGCTGCTGGTTTAGTCTTAGTTTTGTGCAAATAGTGCATCTTTTATAAGAAAAATTGAATGTTAAACCACATGCATGCTTCCACATATTAACAATTTATCGTTTCTCTCTACAGAATAATTTTGATTATGCATTTTTAATCACTCAAACTTTGCTTAATTTGGGTCATTTTTTCTTCTTTCCAGGGCTTGGGAGGAGTTTGCTCAAACACAGGTAAGTTTAAGTCAAACTGATCGCCTAGTTTCATACTATATGTTTTGCTATTTGGGCAAAAAGATCGACTAATTAGACCATCATTTTTTTTTTTATATGTTATTGGATTGCAATTTAAGAGATAATTATAAATAATTAAATGAATTATTCTATATCTATTAATTAAAAAAAAAATGTCTTTTTTCAATAACCTCTTTTTGAATTTATATAAAGTTTTTACTTGTATCCTTTTTATATTAAAATTATTTTTACTAACTTATTATTTTAAAAAAAGCATATATTTATCCAACCAACAATTAATTCATAAAAGTTTTATTTTCTAGATAAATTAAGAAAGTATACATGGAAATTGATTGATGGCATATAGGAAATTTTCTTCTCTTTTACAGTAACATCATCATGATTATCCACTAAAATTTATGATTAATTTTGTCTTTACTTACTACATTTTATATATCTCCTTTCCTTTATCTTCATATAACTCAAAATATATATATATATATTATACAATTATATATATATATATATATATATATATATATATATATATAGTATAATTAACACTATGTGTCCATGTCCTCATAGTTCGGCTTTGATGTTGTATGGGATAAAAATCATATTGGATTTTGTCAGGCCCAATAATGAAACACATACTAAATATGGCCCAATGTCTTGTCTAATTTTGATTGGGCATACTCTTAAATCCATCTTGTGGATTGATAATCCTATGAGATGGCTGAATTCGTAAGAAGGAAAATTCTATAGGTCAACCCATTCTACGAGTTGGACCACAATACGAGTTAGCCCTCTCAACGAGTTGGGCTACTTTATGAGTTGGACCTCTCTATATGCAAGGTCATCCTATGAATTGGGCCAACTTACGCTTTGGGCAACTCCGTGTGATGGACCTTCCTACAAGTTAAGCTAAAACGGGCTCCAACCCATTAGTCCACTTTCGTCCCAAAATAGGAATCATAATTCTATCAACTTCTTAATTCATTCAAGATCTATTATGGAATTAGTACTCTTGAACCAATAAAGGAAAGGAACAAGAGTTTCTTCTTAATTGAGACTATCATACCAATTAGGACTCAAAGTTCTATTAAGACTCTAACCTCTTTGGTTCATTATATAAACAAGAGTCAAACTTCTCATTATGCATTCATAAATAGCCTAAAGCTTTAACTCTACTAAATTCTTGCTCTCAATCACCATATTTTCTAGCCTTAAAGTTGGCCACTGCAAAGCTGTGCTTCAACCAGTTTATGTTAGTCTTGCTTGGCCATTTTGTGTTAGTCTTGCCCTAGAAACCTTACAGTAAATCATTTTCCACTCTCAACCCTTAATAAAATACCTTCCCTTGTGCTGACTTGAGCGTCGGAATGACACCACATCAATGTCACCCGAGCCTTCACATTCGTTCTCTCTTTTCGGGCAGGTTCATCTGATTGTCAATGGCTCGCTTCTCACAAGATATATACTAGATTTTACCATCCACTAATATTTAGGGGAGAGGGTAAGATTTAATGTAATCCAATGGCAATATTAGGCAGAAATATTTCTAGCCCTAATGGCTTCTAGAAAAAGGGTTTGACTCATATTAAGTCAGAATTGAAGTCTTCACACGGCATGACCAATGAGGCAATGACCATATGGTTAACTTTTACTTATATTTCCACGAAGAAATATTCAACGTGTTACACAAATTAATATTACACTTAAATTTCTCTTATTATAAATATATGAAAGAAAATTAACTAGAGGAAGAAAAAGAA